GGCAACAAACTCATTTTCCTCACTTCACAATAACATTAAACATGTTTTAAGGCAACGGTAGGTTCAACAGTAAATGGAAGAGTTGAGTAAGTCAATAAAAAGCATGTACTTGGTCATACTATCTCCTATTGGGAATATTTAAACCTCTTTTTTTAACATTCAGTATCATTTTTTTTTTGTTATGAGAATTTGCAGAAATATATTTGTTGCCTAGAAGCAACATTGTGCAACAGTGGGATGGATTTAGCCAGTCACAAGCTAGGTCTCACCAGTTCAGGGAATATGGCTCTATATCATTTCTTCCCATTGTCACATAATGTTGCCTCAAGGCAACATACTCCAAAAGGATGCCTGCACACATTATTTCTTTTGAATGTTTTTGAATTTAATAATCCGAATCCAAAAAAAAATAAATCATGGACCACTTCATGCAAGAAAAGTCAATTGATTTTTGTAATGTGCGACCAGTAAGCAGACGCTCGCGGATGTAATTTGTTTTTCTTAAATTGCTCTCATTATGCATGCAATAGAGGGTTAAAGGGAAACTCCACTAATGTTTTAAAAATTCTGTAGGATTCATTCATTAAGAAGTAGACATTGTGAGATGTAGTCATTCATGTGAAATGCTCTGTTCTAGAGAAACTTGCAGAGTCAGAATTGTGGTGATGGGAACCAGACGTCTGAAGAGTTCAATGCCTCCAAAAGCTCCTTCACAGAAAATGATTACATTAATTTATTCCAAATATATTGCCTGATGCCTAAAACATTGTTGGCCTAAAATGTATTCATAGATGTAATAAAAAATAGGACCCAAAGAAGTTGTTTTAGATTTACCAGTATTTTGCCATTGTCATCATTACATATAAATGCTTAGAAGACACATCTATAGATGAACTGGTTTGGAAAATAATAAACTGGCTGTATTTGCCCCTGGTTTCTATTGCTACTACTGTAAAGAAGGGTTTCAAACCACACTAATTGGTTAAATCTCAAATTTGTAATTATTCAGAAATTTCGGAAGAAAAAATAGGATCGATGTTTAGACATCAAATGCAAAATCAAGCTTTTACCAAAGACACATACTTTAGCAAGTTTTGACTGAACCATCTTTGAATTCTCCTTCAACAAACTAATAATCATCAGATTCCTCCATTTGGGGAAGGCGTCCAAAGTGCAATACATGCTTTAAAATGTTTGTTGCTTGAAATTACACATTTCTACCAGAGAGGTCTCCAAATCCCCAAAACTTACATAGGTGCAGCTTTTAATTGTTTCTTCTTTGGGTCATGTTTTTATTGGGCAGACGATTTGGCCCCACCTATACATGACAAGTGACAGGTGTGACAGACATGATCATATAGGGATGAACAAAAATAGGCAGAACAGAATGTTCTAAATACAATCACAGTACAGACCCACACATTACTGAATATGCTGATATATAACCCAGCACTAAACACATTAAGGAGCTATACATTCTTTCAACATGAATCCTTTTTTGGAGCAGGTTAGAGTTTTGGTGAAAACTACCAATGTGGGACCGAACTCAGGATGTTAGTAGATGTTGTTGTTTCGGGATGCATAAGTACTTGTGTTTTGTCTCTGCCTTCTCAGGCGTATCATCCTTTTGTCTGTTCTGTTCTTTTACAAAATGTGTCACTAAAATATTCATGTGTGTTTCTGAAGCATGTCATTGCGAGGTCTGGGTGCCAGATGCGAGTCATGGATATGTGCGTATCTTTTGTCCAGTATGAGTCGTTGCTATACAGTCAGGTCGCTGACATTTTGTGCATTTTTGAGTACCTTTGATTGGTGCACATCACTGATATACATATTTTTCTCATGATTGTTTCTCAAATGTTTGTCTCGTAAATATTGCCCTACCTGAAGTATTGGAAGCTGTAAAGTTAGCCCTTAAAGATGTCTTAAAAACCCTTAAGAGTTGTCATTGTTGTTTTGCTGGACTGTTATAGTGTAATTACTTAATTATTACATAGTTTGTTAAATGAATTAGATTATTAGAGGTTTGAGTCTGCACCTTTATTCTTTTTCTGTTTCCATGTCAACAACATGACAAAAATATAGTTATTATTTTCCCAGACTATTCAAATATATGTATCTGTTATATAATATATGTTTCTGCACTTCTGTCATATATGTAATTATAAAGGTATTACATTTTCAAGAGATTTGTTTCTGCACTTCTGTCTTTTTCAATTTTACTATCAAAACATGACAAAACATGCTAAATGCTATTGTTGTTTCCCTTAACATTGCATATGTAACTACATAATTATTACATAGTTTGTTACATAATGAATCACATTTTTGAGCGTTTTCAGCCTTTTTTCTGCTTCACTGTCAAAACATGAATAAATTGGCAAAATAATGTGAAGGATGTTTTTTTTCTTTTCACAGACAAGATTATACAAAAGTACCTTTTCACCAATATAAATAAAATAAAAATAATAATAATAAGTTTGATTTATGTAGCATCTCTCACAGCCAAGGACTCTTTGGAGTCAGTTTGTTATATAATGAAATAGATTTTCAAGAGGTTTGATGCTTTTTCTGTTTCAATGTCAAAACTATGACAAGAACATGGCAAAAAAAAATTAGTTATTATTTTCCCAGACTATTCATATATAATTATTATATTGTTTGTTCAATATTGAAGTATTGTTCCATATTGAAGTAACATTTTTCAGAGGTTTGTTTCTGCACTTCTGCCATTTTCAATTTTGCTTTCAAAACATGACGAACAATGCCAAATAAAGCAGTTATTGTTTTCCTTCAAAAAGCATGTGTAATTACATAATTATTACATAGTTTGTTACAAACTGAATTGCAGTTTCAGACGTTTTCAGGCTGCACTTGTCATTTTTCTGTTTCACTGTCATAAAAATAAAAAAAGGGATGAAAAATTGTGAAGGATGATCATAACAGAAACAGGGACTCATCAAACAACAAAATCAAAGGAAATCCTGTGTACACAGTCATAATAGAAACATGATAGAGAACAAAGAAACTGAAAAATAAAATAAAGTAAACATAACCAAAGATATTCCAGAGAATGTAGACGGAAGCAAACAGACTGGACTTTGAATGACGAAACGGATGAGCTGAGTCAGAGATATAAAAGAAATGTGTTCCATAATTTAGGAGCCATTACACTAAATGAAAAGTGGACAGTTGGAAGGTAGAAATAAGAGCTTTAACTGGGCTTAAAAAATTGAACCCAAAATAGCCAAAGAACGTTCTGTCTGAGCCTGACCCGACCTACAACACCAAGTTTTGAGTCCAAAACTTAGATGTTGTGACCCAAACCAGCCCCTCATCACTGAAAAAGCTGAATAAAACCTGATAATATAGTAGCAGTTCATCAGACTGTAATGACCATGATAATAGCCATCATAAGGTCATGGAAAATTGAAGTGTAGTATGATATATTCACAAGTGTGTTCATCAAGCAACGCTTTTGAACATTCTAAATGTGTTAATCATTGATATAGCAAGACTTTAACCTTCACCTATTTAATCCTATGAACATAAACAGTTGTGAGCAAAAGTTTGGGCGCCCCTGGTCAAATTATGCTTTGTTGATTTTCTAAATAAAAACAAGTTGGCGAACACACTTCTGCACATTTCAATGCACAATTACTGTTTGTTTGCTGATTTTAACATACTAGAAAACCTAAAAATGTGGCCTTTACGAAACAGACTGTATGATTAATGTTTCATTTTTTAAATTGTGCCGATGTTGCTTACTAAAATTGGAAGAAAATGACATATTTAAGTTTCCTGTAGAGGATGTGTTAACCTATTTTCATTTAGAAAATCAACAAAACATATCATCTGCTTGGGGGTATTCAAACGTTTGAACATGACTTGATACCTTGTTGAAAACATAAAAATATTTTTGACTAAGCAAATTGAATATGAATGTCTTCTTTGCTGCATTAATCTGTTCTCTTCTGAACCAATTCATCCAGAATACCTGAAGGTATAAGTAGGATAAGTGGGGAGAAGGTCATCAGCTATATAGGGGGTCCATTTCTTCTTACAAACACCAGTGTGGTGTGAATTGGAAGTTTAGAATCTGGACTTTCAACACAGATTCTCCACTTGTCTCAACAAGCTATGGATGAGAAATAAGTTGCATTTAACTGCATCATATATTTGTCATCAATGGCAATAACGGGTTCTTCTAAGGGTTGATCATTTATAGGTCCACGTTTGGCTTGAATGGCTGTCAATGTTTGTAGGCTGTCCAACAACTGAAAGGAAACTGAATTAGGCCATGAAAATATCTGCCACTCTTTTCTTTAACCCCTTTTATTGCACACTACTATAACAGCTCAGCCAGTTTTCATTAAAGTCCCTGTAGATACTGAATAATAAGCCTTAATGTGTAACAAGTCTGGGATGTTAAGGGGTTAATCCAATGGCACATATCACTGTTGTTGGAACAAAACCTCCAAAATGAGAACTTTACAGGAGAAGGAAAAAACATACTCTGTTTTTAATGTAAGTCAATGAAACCAGACTTTTTTACAAGTAATTTTGGGTAATTTCTGTTGGTCCATTCATCAAAAAATTTTCTTTTGTTGATTTTCTGTGTTAAAGTAGCTGATTTTAACTGTGTCTAACTGTGTGAAACTGTGTCAAACTAATTTTTCTTCACATTTTACTGCTTAATTTCAATTTATATGCTGAGTTTAACATTGTGGAAAAAAACATAACATATAAAATATGCCATACATTTTGCACACGCCTTGTTTTGTTTTGTTCTTTTCCAATTTGATAACATTCAGCAAATAAACCCTCATTAATATTGCATTGAAATGTGCAGAAGTGTGTCAGAAAGTCAACGCAACGTATAATTTGATTGGGGCGCCCAAACTTTTGTATGCGACTGTATGTATTCATATTATACAGTGTACATATCACTGAGTGTGTAACTGATCTCTCGGTGTGTGTTTGTGTGTGTGTTTCTGCAGAGGGTGGAACGTGTGAGGTGATAGCAGCTCATCGGTGCTGCAATAAGAACCGGATTGAGGAACGCTCTCAGACGGTCAAGTGCTCGTGTCTGCCGGGTAAAGTGGCCGGAACGACACGCAACAAGCCCTCCTGCGTGGACGGTAAGAACTTTGGTGTCACGTTCTGTCACTAAAGGGTTCTGCTGTGTTCCAATTGTATATTTAACACTACATTCAACTTAGTATGTAGTATGTATGTTGTATATCTAGTATGCAGAATATAGTATACATTGATCAGCCATAATATTGAACGACCTCCTTGTTTCTACACTCTTTGTCCACTTTATCAGCTCCACCTACCATATAGGAGCACTTTGTAGTTCTACAGTTACAGACTGTAGTCCATCTGTTTCTCTGCTTACTTTGTTACCCTGTTCTTCAATGGTCAGGACCCCCACAGGACCACCACAGAGCAGGTACTATTTGGGTGGTGGATCATTCTCAGCACTGCAGTAACACTGACGTGGTGGAGGTGTGTTAGTGTGTGTTGTGCTGGTCTGAGTGGATCAGACACAGCAGTGCTGCTGGAGTTTGTGTCCACTCACTGTCCACTCTATTAGACACTCCTACCTTGTTGGTCCACCTTGTAGATGTAAAGTCAGAGACGATAGCTCATCTGTCACTACACAGTTTGTGTTGGTCATCCTCTAGTCCTTCATCAGTGGTCACAGGACGCTGCCCACAGGACGCTGCCCACAGGACGCTGCCCACAGGATGCTGCTGGCTGGATCTTTTTGGTTGGTGGACTATTCTCATTCCAGCAGTGACACTGAGGTGTTTAAAAACTCCAGCAGCACTGCTGTGTCTGATCCACTTGCACCAGCGCAACACACACTAAGACTACACTATAGAATATGGAACACATTTTGATGTATTTGTGACATATTAAACTCTTATTAGCTGTAAAGTAATAAACTTAGTTAAGTCAATAAACTTGACCCCGTAGAACTATCTAGAACCGATATGCTGATATGCTGCCATAATACAGTAATAAAATGTGAATTTAGGTGGAAATTCATGCTGAATAATTTGCATAACAAGATCTTCGAAAGTGTTCATTGTGCGTAATTACAAATATTTATGCAATTATTAATAGTTTCCACATAATAGGCCACTAAATGTGTACTAATACGGGTTGTAGGGAATAAAGCTTGATGCACAAAATGAAAAAAAACATTTAGAAGTGTCTAATTTGGGCTTTACTAAACAAAGAACAAGACCTTAATGAACTCCAGTATGTGTTCCTTATAATACTGTTTGGCAACCTGATTGCTTCACTGAGAGCCAATGTAATGAATTCTAACCTAAAATAGGCATCAAAACTTACATCCAGTGCAACATGACTTTTAGCGACATCTATCAGTGTTTTGGCACGTAGACAGACCCTTTAGCCAGTGAAGCTCATACCAACACCTCTTAAACTCAGTACCTTAAATAATCTCACTGTTGGGTTTATTTATTCGGCTGTCGTTTTCAAGTGGCACTTAACAGCTGACACGTTTTAGCGGAGATATATTTATACCGAAAGCCAGTCTTTTCCTGTCACATAAAACCCTTAAGTGTGCAGTAAAGTTGCTGATGCAGAAGTAAAGCAGCGGTGCAGGTGCACCGTTCATGCCGCTTCACTCTGGCTGTCACCTTGACGCCATTTCGCACCATTTATTCAAATTTCATGCAAATGCCAATGGGCTAGCGTGACCTCTCAAATAAAAGTTCCGCTCTTTTCCGAGCCGACAGAGCAAACAAACAAAGCAACAAATGTTTATATATCTAAGAAACACTGGGGCTGAGGAACAGAGTGCAGTGAAAGTGGCGGAAAGCCTGAGGGTTGGGAAAAATCAAAGAAAGCGACACACATAAAGATTCTGTTGAACTTTGAAGCCAGCGCTAGACAAAGCGGTAATTCAGTCGTGCTCTTGATTTCCTCTGTGTGTGTGTGTGTGTGTGTGTGTGTGTGTGTGTGTGTGTGTGCTGACTGAATATGAAACGATCACACCGTGAACGCTCTCTCTGCTCCAGGCCCGCTTGTTTTATAAGGCTGTACTGAAGACTGCTGCATTTTTGCACTACCTGAATACCAACGGAGGCTCCTTTTTTAAATCGATAAGCTTAAAAATGACCCAATAGCTGATTAAAACTGTTATCAGTAAATCTAAAGCAGCGCTTTCCAGTTCCGCTGCCGAAGCCCCTCTGCACTGCATATTTTAACGCTTTTCCCACTTACACACCCCTGACTCAACTCATCAGCTCATTACCAAACCCTTCATGAGCTTAAGGCTCATCTACAGTTGTTGCTTATGGGTTTGCCATGCTAGCTGAATGTAAATATGTGATTGCATAATTAAAGCTGCACTATTTAAGATTTGGTGATTTGGAGACCTCTGTGGTAGAAACATGTAATTGCATGCTAACATGCGGAACAATTTTTAATGCTAACTGTGCTACAGACCACATGAATCTGATGATTCCAAGTACGTTGAAAGAAAAGTCAATGAGAAATCCATGGATGAAAGGGAATTATCTACTATTGTTGTAATGTAATGTTAATTTTGCATTTAAGTGACAAGGTGTCCCCTTGGAGTTATAAGGTTCTAACATTTTTGTCCAAATTGTGTTATTATATATATTCTTATTCTTACTTCTTAACATTATATGAGGTGTTTTTTTAAAGTTGTGTGCATTTTTTTTACTCTTTATCTAGAAAACAAAAAAGGTTCTATCTCTGAAGTCAAACTCTAACTTAGTTCTATAAGGTTCTATCTGTGAGCCAATCAGCACTTCAAATACACACAAGAGGACCAATCAGGTTCTGCTTCTTTGTCATGTCTCTGCACTGCTCACTGACTGTGGGAAAGGTTTATAAAATGTAATACAACATGAAAACATTTTTTCATAATTATTATATTAAGCCTTGAAGGTAATTGAATAGTATATGTTTGAATCGATGGGGTCTTAATTACAACATATACATTAATTTCATTCATTCATCTTTTTCTTTTTTCTCCCAAAATAAGACATTTTGGCTCATCAAAGTCAAATTTCTGATAAAACACAAAACCTGACACGGCCTTTATACCGACCTGCTACACTTACTTGCTGGGACTGTTCATTACAGTAGCTGGTTGCTGTTTAACTAAAGGACACCTACCTAAACTGACCTCTGCACTGGACACAATATTTAGCACTGGCGTTTATACTTAATCTATCAATCAATGCTTTTTTGAAGAAGAAAAAAGAAGATTTGTCCTAAAACAAGAAATAAATGTTATAAAAAAATAAACAAAAAATAAAAATAAATGTCAGGAAAATGTCACAGAAAGCTTTAAATTTATTCTGATACATGTAGACTCTCAGAACACTAATTTTATCTTTTGAAACAAATTATGAGTATAAGCTATTAGTTTTCTCAGAGAATTATTGCTTTTTTCATGTTTTGCCAGATAGAACCTTATAATTCCAATCAGAAAGTGAGTTCTCAGGATTAGAAGTTCCTATCTGCATTTGGCCTGTTCCAGAAAAACTCATTTACAAGCTTATTAGGATTTTGATATTCTACATTTAGAATACATTTAAGATGTCTGTCATTTTCATGTATGAAAGAGACGTGTTCCACATATCAGTTCTGCCATTTGGAATCCAAAATCTTTGAAGCTCTATATCTCAAAACTGCTCAGAATGCAGACAGAACCTTATAATTCCAAGGGGACAAACTGTACAAGTGACATTATTACATGATTTTTAAATGATTATTTCAGGCTTTACTGTTATCACTGCTGTCCGAAGAAAACCTCGTATCTCCATTTTTGACGTTTTTCAGTTTTTGACATTATTTAAAAAAAAACCTGTTACCCTTTACACTGTATATACATTTAATGATGAATGGACTAAAAGAAACAAGCCAAAATCACTTGGAAAAAATCTGGTTCCATTGACGTACATTAAAAGTAAAGTAAGGTTTTTCCTTCTGCATTTTGCAGATACAATGTTTTCTTACAACAACAGTAGTATAATATATATATATATATATATAAAACTTACATATTACTCATCTTTGTTTTCTCAAGCATCTGATATTTCCCTATTTCTTGATATTTCTATTTCTTAGTGATTATCATTATCTCAGTCAGTTACTGGTTATGTTTCACATTGTATATTTAGGGGTCCAAGCACTAAAAGTGCTGGTTTAACATTCCTGTTACATGTATCCCATCATGCCCTGCTCTCCCAAGTGGTCTTTCAGTCTTGACCTGAGCAGTCCGCACTATAGCAGGGTGTTGATGTGATGAGTATTAAAGCATAAATCAGTGTTCACACTTCATGCTCCTGTGCATCCTTCTACCACAGAGAGGGTCTTTCAGACCACTGCTTCATTGATCAGACCTGATAACAGTGATGTGAGGATGTGAGAGACGGAGAGACTAAAGCACAGATGGATAAATTAGAAACAAGAGTGTGTTGGACATGCAGGAGTGTGTGTGCCAGGAGTGGATCTATGGGGAGCCTGGGTGGTTGGGGGGGCGGGCTATGCCTTACTACTCGGAAACCAGGTCACCCCCAAGTTCAGTAACACTTTAGGTCTCACTTTATTTGGATAGTCCACTATAGACTCCTATAGATAATCTACAGATTGTTAACAAACTATCTGTTGATTCTAAACAGATTTGGACCAGGGTTAGGTCCAGGACCAGGGTGAGGGTTGCGTTTAGGTTTTGGGTTGAGGTTGAGGTTAAGGTTAGAGTTAAAGTCAGGTCAATTTATTAGATATTTAGTTATAATAATAGACTCTAATAAACAAAAGTGGGCAAAGATTCTGAATTCTTGCATCCTCTTGCCTTTTTCCCACCTCACATAAATACAAGAGACTAATAAAGATCTTCCTATGTCATCACAAGTTTTCGAGGGATGCTATCACCACAGCTGCATGCCACCATTGCTGGCACAAAAAAGCAAGTAAAGACGTAAAGATGCTTGTTTTCAAATGTTAACACAGCATTAGCTTGCGCCACTGTTTCTCCTGGTGGTGAGAACTTAGCTAAACCGATTTTGGTCTTTTGAAAAAATGGCATGAATGTCATGATCTTCCACCATTCACTCTAAACAAC